AAAAAAGCCGGCCGGCCGGGTCTGTTTAAAAGTTTTATGTTATGAAAACCAAGATATTAAATTTGTGCGGCCTAATATAATAATAAAGATTAACTTTTTTTATTCCTTATCATTCTAAAAAATTCGCAATTCTGTAATTAAAGTTGATTCCTGTGTTGGCTGTTCTTAATAATTATTGGCCAATTAAATCAGTTAAAAAAAATTCAATACACGAGTAACATTATTTGGAGTCGCTACTAAAAATATATTAATTTTTGCTATTTATATGCTCTATTTTTACTTTGTACGTATTTTAAGCAATAATTTTATTATACGTAGCATTTCAATAAATAAAAAATTACAATAATTAGGAATGGAAATGATTTATGATGTTATTAATGCCAGGGGAAAGACAATTGGTTGAATTTGATCCAGGAATAAGAAATTTAATCACAGCTGTTGATGATAAACGAACGGTACTAAATAATATAAATAATATAAATAATATCAATGAGTGGCAAGAATCGGATAAAAAAAGTAAGAGTACTACTGGAACGTTGACATAATTAGGCATCTAATATCAGAAATATAAATTAAAACGATAATCAAAATCATCATGATGCGATTTTATTATTACGGAACCAAAAAGAGTTAGCAACGATGTTGACGATGTAAACTAATATCATAACATATTGTTAAAAAGTCCATACGATTCTTTAAAAAAGTCCAATTCTGAACAACACCGGTCGGAAACTGGTATTATTCTCTTTTAATTGCAGATAACGAAACAGTAAAAACAATTACCGTTACTGAATCCATCAATTTGGTGTCAATCATCTAATTAGTAAACTTTAAACCAGAATATACTTTTATTGAATTTTATTTAGTCAAAAAAGTGGCACCCGATTTTTATATGGACTAGCACCGAACCGGTTCTGAACCGTCCCTTAAATGTCTGGCGTCCGATCCCATTTATAATACTGCAGTAGTTATTGCTGTATTGCCTTTGGCGTAGGTAGTTTTCATTCCCTTCACAAGTTTATGTGCCAAAATGTAGTGGAATGGAGATGAGGCATTTTATATACGTGAGCGAAAAGAAATGCCAGAGGCTTTTAACCTTTCAAAGGAATTAAATATTTTAGTGCCAGTTATCTGTCGGATTATTAAGGAATCATTCCATTACATGCCATGAAACTGATAAGCCTATTTTCGTGTAGTAAAAACTAAGACAGGCGCAATACCACATATACATTTTATGTATAGGGCCAATTAGTAATATTAAAATTCTAACCATATTGTGAACCGCAGAGAAAATTTGATTTTCCGAACCACTTAACACCAATAGATTATATGCTTAACATGTATTCTTAATGATTAACACCAACCTAGGCCAGAATAAGCTATTAATATTAATAATTTGTTATATATTTTATGTTTCGTGATTCGGATTGTTTCAGTCGTTTATTGTGAAACTTTTTTTTTTTTTTTTAATTTTTAGGGTTTAATACAATTTCGGATGTTTAATGAAATAACATTTTATCAGAAAAACGGAAATAAGGAAATAAAAGTGCTGACCAAAAAAAAAAAAAAAAAAATTAAAAAAATTAAAAGTTAATCGTAATTGCATAATTAAATTTTCTTCATGAAATCCAACAAATTTCCATTTATATTATACAGAAGAAAGATTGATCAATTGTTCTGTTTTCCATTTTTGTTAATTTTTAAAATATTATAATAAAAGAGGAAAGGAGTACTTAATTTTATATTCACCAATCTAATCTAGGAATATATTTATTAATAATGTTCGCTAGCTGAGTGTTATGGAGTATCGCTACGCTTTGGTGATGCAGAATTCATTAGTGAACGACGTGAATTCGAAATATGTGCAGGCAGTACATGCTCAATTATGGGACCCTTTGCTTGATCAAAGCCATTGAGCATCATTGCTGGCCTAAAATCTCCACCAATTAACAATTCTTCGACCCCCAACATTTTTCGTTTAACAATTTTTACCAATTTCCTGGGTGGTTTTATCAAACATCCAGGAAATATTAACAATAAAATAATGTTGTGAATTGATTCTATGTCAATATCTGAGAGCGGACCACTTAGAATTATCGTGCAATAAACAGCAAAATGTGCCACAAAGAATATCAGGACCGTCAATAGATTTATTATTGAGATTGCGGTTTGTTCGGGACGAAGCTCTGTTTGACGACGAATGGTGAATAATGGACATACTACATACGCGAGAGTTAGTCCAGCAGCCAAGAGACTTAAAAACAGGGTAAGTTTTTCCAGTGACATATCTATATCTACGTCATATGTCTTATTAGAATTATAATTAATAGAGAATGTTATAACCGTATAAACTGAAACCCCAAAAACGCCGAAAGTCACCGCAATTGGTGCAAATATTAGAAAGGTCTTGATAAAGTTATATTCTTGATAAAAATTAGTGCCAACGTGTAAAAGGACATAGCATGAAAGAATTGCTGTTAATGAGGTGAACAGAAAATATATGCTAATGTATTTATCATCAAACTCTAACAAGTCAACGGCTCGCAAAAGGTCGAGAATACATAGAGCTTCAATGATCAGAGTACCAATAAAACATGTAATGTGCATTACCGGAGAGAAATTATTAAATGCTCTGTAGATAATATAGAGAGCACTCATGGTAGATAACACCACGCCGGCACTAGCGAGCAAAAACATCATATTGTGAAAATGTTTGGAGATTTTTTAAAAAATGGATATATTACAAGCGTTAAATGACTTGAATAATTGTGTATAGGATTGAAATTTTTTTTTTTTTTTTGGTAAAATTTTGTCGGTAAAGAGTAAATGGTTTTCGTATTTGATGGAAAATGAAGTGGCGGGCCAGCGCCGGCTAAATCGTAAGTCTTTCTATATAGTTTTTAATTTTAATAAAAGAGCCATAAATGTAACATTAAAGAAAGAAAATCAAGAACAGCATCAAAAAGAATGAAGCCGCTTTATGTTAAAATTAACGTATCGTATGAATTATATGACAGCGACGAATGCGTATTATTATATTATTTTCTGACACAATCGGCAGTAAATTATGGAAGGCATGTTCGACGTTTCACATCCAAAAGAAGGAAATTGCCGAACCCTTTTGTGGTTAGCCAATTATCTTCATGAATTGACTTGCCACTTTTGGCATACACGTATAACGAAACTCCCCACATTACCAATCATGACTTTGTTCGCATAAAAAACCAATATTTATAAGGTCAACCCAAATTTTACACTTTTATTTTATTGTTTATTGTGTTCATTATTGATTTTCTCAAAAACACGTAATAATAACTGGAAATATCAGTAATTATTATAATTATTAGTAATTTAATGATTTCCAGAGCTAATCTGTTATGTTTGCTATTTTACGATTATTTAAAAAAAAGGTGTCTCATATTTTAAAGTTTTCGTTGACAACTGTTATATGTTGTAAATTTTGACACATTACAAACAAATGGTGCAAGAAATTATGCTTATTTATGTCGTCCTCATGTTCTTAATGCGAGAACCTTAATGTTTATAAATATTAATCTCGGTACGGAAAAATATATTCATTATTCTCTTTTTTCATCATATTCAGGATTTTTTTGGTGGTTTATGCGATTAAATGTACGTACGGTAATAAGATAAATGGTCATACAAAGTTAATTACACAGTTTCATGTTCAATAAACGAATTCTTATAAAACAATCCTGTCCAATCAAATTGTTTATACTAACAAAGTGTGAAATATTATTATTATTATGCTAGAAATCACGCTGGACTTATTTTACAATTGACTCTTGATATAAAAAATCACCGGGTTCGGCCAAAATTTATATTGAGACTTTTTTATATCAAAGACTTT